TAATTATTTGACACCTAGCAAAGGTTTCCATTTATAGTTTTTACGTTAATATATATATATATATATATAGATTTTTTTGGTAAATTCATTACTATTTATTTTCTTTTCTACCCAACGTTAAATTTTTTAATAATATATATATATATATATATAGATTTTTTTGGTAAATTCATTACTATTTATTTTCTTTTCTACCCAACGTTAAATTTTTTAATAAGAAAATGATTTAATGATAATTTTTTTGAATCATCTTTTTATATATACAATTTTACGTATCATTTAAATAATTAAATTTTTTTATTCATTTAGTACCTATGATATTAAATGTATCAATTTATTTAATGACATATAAAAATTATATAGAAAAATAATATAAAAAATTATCTTTACATCACCGCTCTTTTTAATATAACCATGTATTTTTGCCTTCTAACAACATAATTTCAATGTCAAAAGCTCAACCTAATTTTTACAGAACTGCAGCTTGGAAATTGGCACAAAAGAATAGAAGCGTTATTTTTTCCCCTTTTATAAAAGTCTTAAACACAAGTCAATCATTAATTGATTAATTTATGTAGTTATGCAACTATATATGAAGGAAAGCTCTATATTTTACATGTTTTGAAATGATTTTAACATTATGAAAGGAAAGCAAGCACCCACTTTATCCATACATTCACAAAATTATTATACAAACACAAAGGCTGAAGATCCTGAAAACATTTCAAATTTTCCTAGAAATAAAATGGAATATTTGACAAAATACGAAGAAAGATGAGAAAATTAGTCCAATTATCACGGCAGGATCAAGTGGTGTCTTGTCTTGTCTTCCTCACAGCTCCCAGAATGTAAGCAGCCAAAATTTCCCATCATTTACACAGCCACTGCCCAACCAACCAAGCAAAAATTAGGCAGCTATTGGCTTGATAGCTACATGGACCTGGGGCTGACATAGACACCTTATGTGTTGGACCATCTTATGTAAATCGAGAGGTGACCCAGGTTTTGCTGGCAGTTCTTTACTTTAAATAAATCTGATTGCCTTTCTGTTTCGGTTCTACTAATATTTGTTTGAGTTTATTTACCCAGGAAGACTTCTTCATTATTTTGCATAACACTCTGGCCAAAATGGAAGAAGGTACTGAACTTCAACCGATTCCAGATGCCTATGTCCCTGTTATGAAATTTAAGTTCCAGGGAATATCATTTGATCTTCTTTATGCGAGTATATCTCTTTTGGTTGTTCCTGACGTGAGTCTCAAACCCATTAATTTATTATCATTTGAAGCTAGCATTATCATTGACCCCACTGAATCCTTCCTCCCCCACTCTGAAATATATGTCAGCCAGAGCTCATATGGTTTTCGTTTCTCTATCTGCAAGACTTTATTATAGATTTGAGAGGCCATTACTCGCCACTTAACGTTATAAAAGGAAAAACAAGAAGAGTGGTCTTCTAATGTAAAACAGATAGAAGTGATCTTGTATTGGGTTTGGGTCTGGGTTCTGTGCGGCTATTATGCTGCAACTGGGGCTTGGTGGTTCAAAATGGGTTTGACCAATAGCCCGAGGAATATCCTTACATTTTACTGTTTTGTGGCTACGATGTCTTTCGTGCTTATGGGACCACATTCGGTTTGATACCTTCATTCTTCTGGAAATGATCAATAGGACTTTGACATTTCTCATGGGTCTGTTGCTGTATAAAACTGATGAACAAACTGTTCGAAGTCTTAATGGGTGCAGGGTTTCAGATCAAATCCTTAAACTTGTTCCAAATGTTGAGGTGAACATTTCACGTGCCTTGCTCTATTTATTTAATTTTTATTTCTATTAAACAGTCTTCTAAGCCTTTGCATAGCAGTAGCACTAGCGGACGGCACTCAGATGTTTGAAGCTTTGGGCGAAAAGAGACGGTGTATATTCTAATGTAAGATAAGTATATTGATGAGTTTTTCTTCTTCGTTGGCCCTTTCTCTTTCATATTTTGTTTATCTGCATATTCTTTTTTGTAGGTAACTGGATTTTTAGGAGGTGTTAATTGGGCTCTCCTAGTTGCACGTGTCTGCCAGCTCTATCCCAATGCAATTCCCAGTATGCTGGTTTCTCGATTTTTCAGAGTGTATACGCAGTGGCGGTGGCCAAATCCTGTGATGCTTTGTCCAATAGAAGCAGATGAACTTGGTCTAACTGTATGGGATCCTCGGGGGAATCCTCATGACCGGTTGCATCACATGCCCATAATAACTCCTGCATACCCATGCATGAACTCTAGCTATAACGTCTCTCTAAGCACTCTTCGTGTTATGGTGGAACAGTTTAAATGTGGTAGCAGGATGTGTGAGGTGAGAATGCCTGGCAATTTTATTTTCTAATTGCCCTAAAATTGAGCAATGACCCACCATTTTGTAATTCTGACCTATTGTAGGAGATTGAGCTGAACAAAGCACAATGGAGTGCTTTGTTTGAGCCATATCTTTTCTCCGAGGCATATAAAAACTATCTACAAGTTGACATAGTTGCATCAGATGCTGATGATTTGCTGGCACGGAAGGGCTGGGTGGAGTCACGCCTTAGACAGCTTACTTTGAAGGTAAAACCATTCTTCCCACC